GTCATTAGCACCTCTAGTAATATATTTACTCAGAAAAATGGTGACGTGTTCAATACTTATTTTACCCGCTGTATCCTGCCAAGACGGCACCATAACCAACTGACACTAGCAACACAAAAATGTTTATAGCTCTTAATTTTACAGATATAGAGCTAAACATTTGATGTAGCTGAGAGTGGTTCACAACTCATACTTTGAGCAATACTTCAATACTGCACATGATGGCACATCACAGTTTGACCTAAAGTTTGACATGTACTCTGTAAATATACACTAATGCAAATGCCACCTTTAATTCTGATACTGCTAATATTTTATGTATGCTCACACTTTATCCTGTTACATTTCTAATTAGTTTAGCAATATATTTCTATTTTGATGTCTAATGTTTTACTAACTGTCTAGGTTTGAGGGTGCATGTCCTGTACATTATGCAGATTTTACAATAAATCAACTTTGATTTTGAAAATACATAAGATGTACATTTTATTTAGTACATAAAATGTCAAACTGAAAAATGTTCACTCTGCATGTAATATATTAAAGTTGTTAAAAAATGATCTAAAACTATTCAGTATCAGTGTAGTCTCGCTCTAATGTTTTTATTTCATCACTTGCAGGAACTTTTATCAATATTTTCCAGAACCCAGTGAGGCCTGACAGTCTTTTTTAACCCCTCTTGTTGTGTCTCTTATAGGCTTTTTTTTCTTTCCTAATTGGAAAGGCAATTACTCCTCGGTTGTTTCGTGTTTTTCATGTCATGCTTGTGTGTGGCAGTGCGCCCTGTTTATGTTGGGAGGGAAATGACAGGTTGTGCTGCAGTTACGAGCTTCAGCTGCCACTTAAAGTAAACAAGAAGTTAAAGGCTTTAGATTGTTTACACCAAGTATCAGACATGCCACGCTTTTTATATATATAACTGGGAAATGATATGTCGAAAAAATCCATGTATGAAGCTTGTGGCAACGTTACTCTGTGCGATTTTACAGAAACATCGTCCAGCACGAGCTTCAGCGTCACGATTTAGCTGCTGTTTCTTTTTCTTGACACATCAGCCAAAGTGGCTGTTCTTCTCCTCCGCCCATAAAAAAAAAATCTTGTCCCCCTGGTATGACTCGTTACKTGTCCCGCTCAATAAAAAGCGAGCCTAAGCGTGGGCTCCGGCAGTTCCACTTTCTTCCTCTTCCACTCAGCGTCCCATTGACACCATGTGGATCCGGGCGGCTGCGCTGCTGCTCACTTGCTGTCCCTGGCCGGCCGAGGCTCAGAGTCACGACGGCAGGAGACYGAGCGTCTGGGACAAGCCCATCCAATTCAACACCAAGGATAAGGACAAGTGCACGATGGTGATCACGGGCCAAGGGGAGAACACCAACCTGAGGCTGTCGTGCCAGGGCGCCAGGAACTATTGGTGCGACTACGTGGGGCAACCTCACACCTGCAGCGCTTACAACAAAAACCCACGGCACTACTTCGTCCAGCTGATGTGGACCCTGAGGAAACTGCCGAACGCCTGCCGAGGGCCGAGGCAGGTCAAGCCTCACATGTGCAGGAAGGCCTCCGATGACTCTCTGATGGTCCTCCGGTCGGTCACCTTCGCCAAACCTCAGCCGGGCTCTCCCTACAGGGCAGCACCGCAGCAGTCGAAGCCGTCGGCAAGATCTCGAACCGCACCCGGACCCGCGAGGCCTAACTGGAAAGCGGTCCGACCGCTAAAAAGAGTAAAGACCACGCAAAGAGCCGATCCGACCCCCACGAGCCCCCCGGCTGAGAGCAACCCCAGGAGGATGGCTCGGCAGTACTGCTGGAGGTCCCTGCACGGCATCTGCTCCGTCGTAATCGGCTGGTTTCGGGATTAATCGAAGAGGTGAGCGGCATTTACTCAGGACTCATCTGTACTTCCGTAGGTTTTATGAAACATTTGTTTCTTTCTTTTGTTAATGATGATGTCTGCCGTTTTGTTCATAGATCCTGATCGATGCAGGAAAAGTCTGCTGTTGGATTTAAAACAGGGCTTTTCAACTGGTGGCCTGCGGGACATATCCTGCCCGTGGGTGACTTCCATCCGGAAAATAAATTTTTTTATTATTTATTTAATTTTTTTTGTATTTTCTTTATTATGTTTTCAATCATTCAATTTAATCTAAAAATAGATTTCAACTCATTTGTATTGCATGTCAGGCCCCCAAGCTGTGGGCTTCAAGTATCCCCGGGCCCCACAGTGATTTATTTGAATAGCCCTGATGTAAAAAGTCATATTTTAGAAAATGTACTGGTACTGCTGTGGGTTTAAAAACTTTTTTTTGACTAAACTCAAACTCTACGTCTGCCCTTAAAACCAGCCTGAATAATTTCACTAACTTCATTTATATTTTGCATGCAAAGGTAAAGCTTTCATTTGTGTCAACATATTTATGTTCTTGTTTATATCATTGCTTTGGATACTACATTTTTAGAAGTTTAGAGTGTTTAAATCTCTACATTGGTGGTTTTGTTCAATAAACTGACTGTGAAAATGTTTTTATGTGACAAATAAAGACTTTTAAAAAGTATCTGCGCTGATTGTTTCATTTCASCTTTACTTTATTTTGAGAAAAACAATAATTGTAATAAAAACGTATCGACATCTTTTACCAAATAGACTAAAAGTCTGATATATTTGTGAAGTGATGAGTTTTATTTAATTCACACAGAAACAAATGAGGTCACATTTTTAACGTAACATGTTTTAATTTGTATTAAATTGCACATTTAGCATATCTGATATGTTGCTTGTATTTATGCTTAGAGTTATTCAGTAAAGTATGCAGATAAAAGTGTTTTGTTTACATTAAGTGCATACCTGCATTACAGAACTCTACTGAAGCAAACTCTTATACTGTTACAGTTCAGGGTAACCTTTTTCTATTTGATTTCATAGTTTGCTAAGCGTAGCATCTACAAATAAAGCTGTTTTGTGTTTTTGGTAAAGAAGTTTTGCTTTAAAGTAGACGTCCTGCTTTTAAATCCTTCCTTTTCACATTTAAATCCTTCAGTTGGGGGTCTTTATAAAGTGGGACTACAATACTTTGGTCTGAATTCCTCCTT